CCTCACCATGGGCAACAAGCCGGAATCCTCCTTCAGTGTGTCCTCCAGAAGGTCAAGAATCTTGGCCAAGCGCTGGTCATCATACTCAAAGCGTCGGGCGTAGATGAGGGAGGAGATCACGTTGCACACTGCTCTCTTCAGCAGGGACATGGGGTTAAAGGGGCATCCTGGGTGGGGACAGGCCAGTCATGGTGTGGCCCTGCCTCTCAGGCCTGCCCACCTCATCCCTGTTGTACCCGTCAGCCCATCACTTACCAGCCTTGTTGGCAAAGGCTGTACAGAGGCAGCTGGCCTCCTTGGTCACCCACTGCTCCAGGGACTTCTTGCCCAGGCCAAAGTTGCGCATGGTGGACACAGAGAAGCGCCGCTGCTCGCGCCAGGCATGTCCATAGGTTGCCATGATCACACCTGGGAATGTCGGAGACAGCTTCTAAGCCTGACCCTGCCCTACCCTTCTCCTCCCCTGATGTCATAGGATTCCTCCTCTACTCAGTCAGGACACAAGCATCTCTGGCTTTTCTCTGTAGGCCGGGGTGTCCACCCCTGTAGGTCCTGAAGTCACTGATCCCTATTTCCAGGTATCAGCCGCCCACACCCATCCATCCCCCAGTTTTCCATATCTGCGGCTGCTGAAATTTGCCTTGAGACCGTGGTCCTAAGCCCAGGTGCTCATAGATGGACATCCATGGGCGGTCGGAGGTGTACTCGCTGTGGTTCACCAGCGCCTCCCGCATAGCGGCCAGCCCATTGAGCACAATGACAGGCTTCCAGGCCAGCTGCAGGCTGAACACATCACCAAAGCGGAACCGCATCTGTAGGCAAAAGGGCCATGTATTTGTCCAGCTGAACTCCCTGCTGGGCTGCAGACCTTCACCTCACCACAAAAGACCCAGGGACTCTGCAGTGTCCCAACTCTGGGAAGAGACCTGGTATTGACATGTGGGAATATGAGGCTGGGAGTCACACCCTGTAAAGTGGACTAACTCAGTTCAGATCCAACTTTCTGGACCCACAGCTATGACCTTGCCAATCAGGATATCGTCAATGGGGACAATAGTGCTCCACGATACAGAGCAAGAGACACGGTCACACAGGTGAGCAGTGAGGTGCAAG